GCAGAATCGATCTGGGAATTTAGTCCCTTAACTATTCCTCGACAGACATTAGCAAGGTAACGACAGTAACATGTTCTGTCGCAGAAGAAAAATAAAGTATTCCACCGCCAGAGTTTACACAGAGTATGTCGACAATCATTAGAGTTAGCTCATCAACAAGAGTTTCGGTCACTTACACAAAAAAAAAATTTTTTTTAAGCATAGTATCTAGCATGGAGGCGATAGAAAGCCCAAGAAAGTGATATAAATATTATGAAAATATTCCTAGAAAAACCACAATAGTCAAAACCTGATGTCGTTGGTTTTGCACATAACAGAACGTGTATCCGTTATTGTCGATCTGTATATATGTCCAACCAAAAACTCACCACCTCTTTTCCGAGAAAACTAGAACCTCAAACAAGCAAAGGAGAAAGTGACACCCCACTTCTCGCAAGATAATCAAAGGCCATTAAGAAAAGCAAGGAACTCTTTAGCTCTGCGGTCTCCAAACTTTTTAGTTGGTCCTTTTGGGTGTATGGCACGACCATCCTCCTCCCACACCCCCCCCCCACACACACACACACACATTTTTTCCCTTTCCAGACAAAGATGTGATTAAAATGAGAGGTTCAAAAAGAAAAATCCTATGCTCTGTAGACAAGAACTTGGAGGAAAGCATCCACTTAAATCACAGTTTCAAATAATAAAAGAAAAAAAAAAACTTTACTAACACGTGGTAATGTAATACTATAACATCAATGTAATGGTTGACACTGTTTTGCCTTGTTGATATCTGACTTTTTTCAGCCTTATGCGTGTGATAAGGCACAACAAAGATCACTGTTTGCATCAATCTGGTAAAGTTGTTTTGTTTCATGACTGTTAAAGCCAAAAATCCAGATTCACAAAGGAGTATTGAGGAACGATCCCTAAATCCCATGCTCTAACAGTGGAAGTCTTAATACACTAGTGACAATTGCCATCGGTATGGGCTGTTAGCCCTGTGTCTCCTCGTAGCACAATGTTACATTATCATGTGGAAAGAGGGTGCCTCTCTCTCTCTCTCTCTCTCTCTCTCTCTCTCTCTCTCTCTCTCTCTCTCTCTCTCTCTCTCTCTTATCTCTCTCTCTCCCTCTCTCTCTCTCTTTCTACAATACACACACATGCACACACACACACACACACACACACATACAACTATGTTTACTATTGCCCGGCTCTCTAGCGAAGTTGGTTAAACCTGACTTTCGCGGCGGCCGGGTGACGAACTCCTTGTGGTCCGGGTTCACTCCCGGGGGTAGGCAGAAAAGCCACATTTCTCCCAGATTAATGGTACCTATAATGGAATCAAGGCCGAAGGGTTGCGATATCCATAGTACCGAGCCAAAGGGTTAACAACTCATGGTTTCTGGATACGTAAAAAAAATATGTTAAGTCAGTTGTGTATCCTTTACAGTATTTTGCAGAACCAACCCCATGGGTTGTTTGGCTATTGTGGTTTTCCTAGTCATGTTTACGTCCAGTAGTTGCTATTACAAAACCAACGCAAAGCGCATGGCCTGCAGCTGGGATCGAAACCAAATGGTGGTGGTGGTATTAAATGTGATAGCATCAAGTATTGATTAGATGTGTTATACGACCTATATTAGGCCCATTTTTTGTTTAAATGATAGGTTAGAAAAGCGTGAAAACCAGAGTCACTTCCATAGATCATTCTCTTTTCTAGATTAGCCTGTAAAACAGATCAAAAATGCCACGATAGGAATTGTTTAGACTAGTGTTTTCCCCAGTGGGCGCTACCATCCAGTTCGTGGTGCTGGAATAGAAGTGGGGGCAGTAGTTTTAAACGTCGTATTTAGGATTTGCCAACAGACTTAGTTGTTACCCTGTGTCACTGCCTGGGCGGATTAGTGGGAATCTTCTAGGCCGATTTTTACAGTGATGGGTCTCTACCTCCGCTGGTGTGTAGGAAAGGGCTGCGGTGGTAGTTGAGGGCACGGTAGATTTGTTGTTCAAATTGTTGGGGCAATGGAACGACAAGTGGGGGTGGAGGGGGGAGGGGGGTCGATTTTTAGTTTCACTGTCCTCAGTACTTTCGGCAATAGGGTGGTGCAAGCATTCAAATGAAAAGGGGTCAGCGCCTTAATTCGTCATAGTTGGAAAGGGAGGTGGTGGTGTGGGCAAGAGTCCGAATTGTAACCCTTAGTCACAGATAGTTTGGGAGGGGGGGGGGGGGGGGGGGGACAAGAGGATGGTAGTGGATTAAAACCTCAAATTATTCATATAACTGGCACTATCGCAGTTAAGTGGGCAGTTAGCTTCGTAGGTCAAATCTTGTAGTGATTGACAGATCAAGAGGCGGTCAGAGCCTCAGGTGCACTTACGGACATTGACTAAACACACGGCTGAGGTTGAAGCAAATATGAAATCGGGAACAAAGGAAATCGTTCCCCCTCCCCCCACCCCCTCCCCCCCCTATCCCCGACGTAGCATGGCTATT